AAAATGAATGTATGAAGATTACATGTTGGATATCTACGTATTGAGTCTCATATCTACACTGAAAAATCAAATACAAGCTACCTTGGACAAAAATACCAGTGTACAAACCGAAAATCAGAATTATAAATGGCATGCAGGATACTGATAAACGGGGAGGAAACTTAAAGAATCAACCTGGAGAAAGGAATCAAAACTGGGTTTATTTGTCAACAAAGTTTATTGTCTCAAAGAAGGAATGGGCAGAGTGCCAACTAAGAAACTGCTGGAAATTATCCATATGCAGAAGAAATAAAACCATCACAGGAACTCCTATAAGAGGCCCCAACAATTAAAAGTAACCTGGCACCCTTGGGAATTGCAGTCTATGTTCTTGTGCTTTTATTCTGAGAATCACCAGATTGCTTTAGGGAGTTTGTTTTCTTCCCCTCTTGAATATATATGTGACTAAATTTGTGTTTGCAAATCTAGGGGAAAAAAATAACAGGACTTGCAGAATTTGCTGAGCACCAGCAGTTCTTTGAAGATGATGGCAGGTGGAAAATATTTAGCATTTTTGAGGATTAGGAGCTGCAGTACAGATTTTTTTTATCTTCTCTCTGGATTCAGAAAAATCTTGGGCAATGTCCTACCAAAAGAGACCACACCTTCCCAACTCAGGAAAAGAAACGCCTTAAAATTTTTTGGTTTGGTGTTCTTTTTTTTTTTTTACTTTTAATTTCTTATTCTGACTCGATCATATAACAGGAGAGCCTGCTCTAAAGAGTGAAGTAAAAGGAACAACTAGAAGAAATTCTGTCTTTAAAGTCTGAAAGTACAAGGATGGAGATCATCATAGAGAGAATTTCATACTTCACTTCTAGTCACACTGATGCTCTATACATAGAAAAGATAACTCACTTTTCTCTCTGGTATATTTTACACTTTGGAAATACATCCCTTTCATCCCACTCTGACTTGGTGTAAATGGTTACACCTTGTCCAGGCAATGCAAACTCGGGCTCAGTGTCTGTGTAGCACCTTACAAAGTTTTCCTTATTGCCTCTGAGAGTAAGAACAAGCTCCCATATAGGATGGCTGAGCCTTGCTCTGTCTTAACACAGCCCTCTGGCTTGAGAAGGGAGGCGTGCAGCACCTAGGGCATGGGTGCAACAGTGGGGACTGCATGCCTCTGCAAGGGCAACACAGAGACAAGGGCACCAAGCACAGCCCAAATGCAATGTCCTTATTGCCGCTACAAAGCTTCATTACACTGGCAACCTGTGGGTCAGCACACTTCACGAGGATCCCGTGGTGCCCTGACACACAGGAAGGCTGACCCTTAGCCCTGAAACCTCACACACTACCCCTCCTCCCCCAGTCCTCCCACCTCCTCCTGTAGAAATTTAAGACTACTTCAAACTGCAGAGATTTGGGGCTTTTCCCCCAGAGGACTGATCACTGCCTACCTAGGAAAGAGATTAAGCCCCTCCCAAAGACACAAAGAGCTGGGACTACTCCCAAAGGAAGGCAAGCTGCACATCTTTCTCCCCCAACCATCTCTCCTCCACTGACCAGGCAGAAAGGGCACCTAAGCTGTGCTAGGAAAGAACTACTTGCAAAAGCAAGCCATCTTGCCATTCAGGAAGACGTGGGGGCCAGCTGACATCCCCTTGCCCTAAGGAAGCGCAGCGAGTGCCTGCCAGAGCCGGCAGGTCCCTCGTACAGCTCTCGCCAGGACTTACTGCGTTTAACCACGGCCAGCAGCTGACAGGGAGGAGGACAGCAGGGATGAAACCTCCAGACACCCAGGAGCCATAGGAACTTGCAGCCCGCAAGCGTCTAATATCTTTTTTTCCTCCTTTTTTTTTTTTTTTTTTCAGTTCTGAAGGCATGTGACCGGCCTTCACATACCAGAGCTGACCCCTCCCAAAGCCTGCGATTTCCTAAGAGCCGAGAAGGATGTTACCCTCCCGCTTATTCATTACAAGACCAGGTTTCCTTGCCCTTAACGCATCAAAACCTCACTCCGCCCAGGGTCCGCGTGTCAGCACCGCACCGGATCCCTCCGGACAGGTGCAAAAGGGGCCGTGGTGCTCAGCTACCTGCTATGAGGAGGACATGGCCACGGGGAGACCAGGCTCTCCTAAATGGCACACGGCTTTCAGTTTTCCAGGTGTAAAAGCACCAGCTCTTTGCTCTCACATCCGCCGTCCCCTTCGGCACTGGGCCGGGAAAGAGCTGCACGTGTTTCACACTGTTCCCCCATAAACCAGCGCTGGCACTGGGAAGCTCCCTCCCCACACACTTTTCATGTCACCGAAACACCACGGCACAGGGCACTGCTGACGTTTTGGTTTCGGTTTTTGCTCGCCCGGGTTGGCAGCGCCGTTTCTGGAAAAAAGATGGGGCTTATGCTCCTTGCCCGTCCCGCACTGCCACGTTGCCTTGCTTTGCTCCGAAATCCCTCCACCCCTTACCACGCATCTCAACACAATTCCCCCCCCCTTCGCTTTGCACTTGCCAGTATCCACATGCAGAGACCCCACAGCTGCCCCCACCCCTATGGGAGGGGCTCCTCCCGCCGCTCTCCTGCCGGCACCGCCCTCCGGAGCCGGGGCTGAGAGCGGGGGGAACCGGGGAGCGCTCGGGGGGAGCCCTTGGGGGACCCCTCGGCCGGCAGCGCGCAGGGAGCGCAGGGTCAGGCACGGCGGGGCGGAGGGCTTGCCTCCCCTGCCTCCTGCTTCTCCTCCTCCTTCTCCTCCTCCTCCTCCGGGAGGGCTGGACCACTGCGGTGGGTGCCCCCCGTTGCTCTGCAGCGCCAGGCAGGCGCTACGCGTGAGGAACTGCAGCCCCGAGGCACAGCCGCAGGCTCACGGCACCGCCGGAGAGGAGAACTTCGGCGGGAGGCAGAGGTGCCGCAGAGCCTGCCATACACGTATCGCACACGTGGACTTAAACGAGTCTCGGATCGCTTCAGGCAACACAACCGCGCCCGCAAACTCCCTGAGCAGACACGGCTCCCAGAGGCTGTTTCTGGTTCGCCTGAGCATCGCCACGACACACCGTCTTGACGCCTCAGCGAATAAAACCCGCGCCACCCCCCAGCATGCACGCAGCGCTTCTCACTCACGAACTGTAGCGCCGTGATTCCTCGCTGGTTCCAACAAAATAGCACACGCGGCCTGTCAGTCACCTGCACAACACAACATACACATCTGGCGCGACGCAACATGATACTCAGAATACCGGGCAGGGAGGGGTCGTGCTGGCTATCGGGTTATTGCTGGGAGGATTACTCTGTTGGCCATATCCATGACTGGCCATACTGCTGCTTTCTCTATTGGCACCTACCTTAAGTGAGCCCTCGAGCCTTGTCCCTAACAGAGCCTGCAGACCACACCAGCGCAGCTTCCTAACAAACCCGCTGCTGGGGACACTTCTTTCTTCTTTGTTTTTGGGGTTTTTTGGTTTTGTTTTTTTTATTTATTAAGGGGAGGAGAAAAAAAAAAAGAATTTAAAAACCCTCTGTTGGTTTATCACTATGGCTGCAAATTTAAACTAAAATTAATTCCTAGTGAAATCAACATTAGCCAGGCACCTAATGAGACTCACCTAAGTACACCTTGTCTTTGTGGTAACTTTTGTCTTGATGAGCCAATGAGGGTCTTACTTGAAAATATCTTCTAGATGTTAGATGCTGCAACAATGGGGTAACAGAATCAGGGTCTGTATGCACTACTTGTCCTCCACTGCCCAATTTTATGTCTCTGGTTTTGGTATAAGTAAGGAGCTGCAAGTGCCAAGACTGACCTCAGTTTCTGGCTTCATAGAGGTTATTGCACATTAGCAGTCACTTATTGCCTATTGTCACCATGCATGCACAAGATTTAAGCACCTTTTTTACTGTAGGATTGATGCAAAAATATTTTAAACTTCGAAGTCCTTCTGCGCCTTTGGTTTAAGAGCAAATCTTTAATCCATAAAGTTAACAAAACTACTTCTGCTCAAAGGACTTCTTTCATGCTAGCACAAAAGTAATAAAAGAGATAAAAGATCTACCACTGCTGACTCCCAGGAAAGCTCAAATTAGTTTCATCTAAGGGAGTAGTCTAAGGACTCTTAGATAACATCCGGTCCCTGGAAGATGGAGACCAGAGGCATTTTTGTTACTCACAAGGTCCCTCATCCCTTTGCAGATGAGTGGCACCTTCACCACTCTGCAGATTATTGCTTTTGACACAACCTCCCACTTTGTCAGTGGCTGCCTTTCGCTCTCCCCACCCTCTCTGACAGCACACGAGGAAACTTGGCTTAGAGTGAGTTCGTACAATTGTACAGTATTTTCAGCCTACTTTTTGCTTCTCACGTGACTCTTTCTTTTAATAGGTTTTCTTATCTCTCCCTTTACCTAAACGGAAATTATTAACATTTTTGCAACACTGCCTCCTCTCTCAATAAGTAACTACTGCACAAATCACAGCCACACCTAACAATCTCTAGTCCCGTGAATGTGGTGGGAGCAAAACCTCATCCCAGCTGAAGTAATGCTCAAAACTCCCACCGACCTCAAGATAGGAAAAGCTATGCCCAGAGCCACACCTTTAACGTCCAAATCACAAACTGCATTTGGACAACTCATCCATGTGCATAGAGTGTTACTGCTCCTAAAACTGCCGCTGATAATTTCAGGTAGGAATTGGAGCTGAAAAAGGTTCATCTGTAACCAGTAACTAACTCCTCCAGGGACAGGATCCAGAGATTTGACAATACCAGGCAGACTTTTATCAACACAAGAATCACCACTAAACCTTCATATAATGAATTTCCACTTTTCTAATGAATGGCAGGTTTGGATGGCTCACTTTTCTCCTGCAGCTCACTCTGTCACACTGGAAATTATTCTCTGTAGAAAATTTGCAGTATTGAAAGAGAAAAAACTACACTCTGCATCAGTACACTGAAGTAAACAGAGACTGGGGAAAAATCAGCAGGCACACAAAAAGCTCACCCACTGCTTTTACCTTTCCAGATGAGGGACTTCTGTGACATCTCCTCTGAAGAGTGTTTTGCTTGTATCCTTTAAGCCATTGGCGATGCCTTCACCACATCCCTTCACCTCCTTGTCAGGGACATCTGGCTGCCCCAAGGCTGATGTCCGATCTAAAAACTGTCCACCCTCCTTCATGCGCTGCTGGATCATGGGAGTGAGTGGCATCTCAAAGCTGAAGTAGCTGTCGGGCTCCGAGTACAACGTCTCCAGCGACTCTGCGCTGTAGTATAAAGATGCATTGTCTAGGATGTTTTCGAACTGTGAGCTGTACAGATCAGTGGAGACGTCGGAGTGCCTCTGCCCAAGGAAATCTTCATATCCTCCTGCGGCTGCTTCACCCTCCTCCGTCATCCTGAAAATTAACCAGAAACAGCTTGTTTCAGCTTGGGGGCAAGGTTTGGGCTTCTGGTTGAACCTTCTCGCACTTTCCGCCTTTGTGAACAGAAAGGTCAGCGCGGCTTTGTGCAGGAGAGGGCACTGCAGGTAAAATGCTAGCTTCTCCTTGCACCACCTCTGTTTATGATTGGCACCATTGTCCCTCTCTGGGGACATAAAAAGAAACAATCTTCTGGGTAAAAGAGGGGGCTGAGGGACAACCTAATGTTGTCTAACAGAGAAATCAGCTGCTTATGTGCAAAGGAGAAAATGCACTCACACATAAGCTATGTCCTAACACCAGTGCCATGCCAGAGGCTGCACATCTTGGTGATGTGTACTCAGACAGAGCCTCTGCCCCAAAGGATAGTTTACTAGCTCCTAGGACTGGGGTCTTCAGCAAAAAGCTGAAGGAAATCACTCCAAAATGCAAAGGGAAGCAAGTGCAATTAAACACATGGAGACAGGAGAACCAGATTTGAAGGGAGAAGACTCAGCCTGCTTGCTGATTTAGAGGGGAAGGTGCAGCACCCTCCTGCAGAAGAGTTTTCTTCTCTGCCACACCAAATACAGTGGGGCTCCTCACAGCACATGCCAGAGGTTAGGGCTGCCAGCCTGAGTAATCCCGTGTGCTAGCCAAAGCAAAACTCCACATATCCCATGGTGCAGAGTCAGGAGAGCCTCCCTTGCTGAGATCCTGTTGTCTCATCAGCAAACAGCTCAACAGGTCAGAGCGGGCCCGGTTTGCTCAGAGCACACCAACTTTGTCAAGGATGTGCATCAGGAAAGAAAGCAAGCAAATCAGGATGGTCTCATAAAAAGCAGAGCACACTCCTTGCAGTATGTATAGCAAAAATTCTATTAACATAGATAGATAGATAGATAGATAGATAGATAGATAGATAGATAGATAGATATAGAAAGCACATCACAGCATTTACTCTCTTATAATCTACAAGGCCCTGGATAAAATGTCTTTATTATCTAACCTCTCCGAAGTGCTCACACTGTTCTTGCTCAAACTCTGCCTGAAATCAGAAAATCTGGCCAGGCGCATATGGGCAGGCCTGCATGCTGCCTTATTTAATTACATGTCATGTCTGGATCCCAACTACACCTGCTACAGATGCCTCCTCACACAGACATCACTGTGCAAATAGCAAGACGTGTTTATGTTTCAAAACCTGAGATGGACTTCAAACTTCAGCAAGGTGTTGTGTAGGGGATTCAGTCCGAACTTCATGCACTAGCCACCACCAGACAGGAATCACTACCACAGACACCACACTGAAGGCAGCAGACAAACATTTGTTGTTTCTCATTAGCTGCTAAAGAGCTAATACCACCTGACCCCTGCACCCCTCCAAGCACGGTCTCACCTGCCCTGGCCTCTCACTAGCACAGACGCCTCCTCCTCCACACGGTTCTTCCTGTCCTTCATGGTAACTTCATCCTTCTCACTTTCATTGGGTGGTACTAGAGGAGTGGCTCCAGATGCAGTGGGTCCCAGCCTTGGGTCCTCACGGACCTCACTCCATGCGCTGTCTGGAGAGGAGAGCAGGCCTGGAGAGACCATTGGTGATGCAGGGTGGCTGGATGTTTTGGGGAATGCCTTTCTCTCCACAGACAGAGAGTCCACCAGCGAGTGCTTCTTTCTTCTCTGCTCCTCAGCTTTCTGCAGCCATAAAATCTCCACCCCTTGAAATTCTACATGTTTACTCACAGCTACCTCTTTAGCGAGCCTCCTCTCAGCACCCATTTGCATTTTACCTTGACTGTACCCCGAAAACTCCTCAGAACATGCCCACCCCTCTACTCTCCTGGCTGCTTCCCGGTTAGCCACAGATGGTCTGTGACAGCTTTGTTCCTGCACTGCATGGACCTCGTCAGCCTTATTACTAATGGCTTGCAAGGACTCGGACTGCTTTTCTCTAGTCCATATTGCAGCCAGATCTTCCTCTACGACCAAATGCTTTTTTTCCTCAGCTGTTCGTTCAGAAGGAAGAGGCACGTCTGAGAGTTTTTCTTGGCCTCCTGGAACTGGTTCTCTGGCTGCCTGCACATTTTGGCTGCCAGTAACACTCTTTTTTTCCATTTGCGTCTCTGAATCAAGAGAAGTATTTGCTCTCTCTTGCACCTTTGCTGCTTCTAACCGTCGAGAGATTTTCATAATCTCTGGCAGGTTACCCGCAGGTTGCACACCTTCTTCTGGGGCGTGCAGCTGCGCTGCCCCAGCATCAGGTCTCGAATTATCTGCAGGAGCTGCACACTGAGGAATGGGCCTGACGTGGTGGTGACTGTCCCGTCTTTCTGGACGGTGTGTCACAGGCTCTGCGTGGCGTGTCGGTGAAGCTGTCGGCTCCTGTCTGCTTGGCTCCACGGTGCCGTACTCTGGAAATTCATTGATGATGGTATGAGGAAGTAAAGTGCTGCTTCCACGGCCACTACCTGCAAAGAGAAAAAAAAAAGAAAAAAAAAAAAAAAAAGAGACCCTGGATTTATCTTCCACATGCATAAAGTAAAAAAAGCCTGATCTCCCTTCCAAGGCCTCTCCTAGAAGAGTAACTACATTCTGCCCAGCAGGGAAAATACCGTTCAGTTTAATTCACTTCTGAACGCTCTCACAACTGCAGTTATCCAGAGCTGGTCTTTTTACATAGGAGTTTTTGGGCAGCCCTACTTTGGGAGTGTGCACTACAGAGGAAGGAATGCTAGAAATGTCTGCTACACTTCAGAAAGGGTCCCTGTGGCCCAGGAACGGTCTGAGGCCACAGGCCAGGCGCACAGGCTGAAGAAAGCAGATATTCAGAGTCTGACATCCATCCAAAGAATGCACCACACATGATGGTTTTACTTAAAAAAGAAGGTTTTAGGTCATTTTCACTCTTAAAGGTGAAACACTGGGAAGATAATCAGCCACACTCCGAACGTTCCACAGCCTTGACAAAACCAATTAGCTAAATTACAACGCAATTAATGAGCAATTCAACTTTATGCCAGCACTTCCTTTAACAACTGGGGTAGCTGAAGGTCATTTTGCAGTGGTGGATGCACACCAAGCAGTTCCCATTTGCTGTTGCAGCAAATACACTGCTGCACAGAAAGCTTACCACCCCCCCCTTCCTCATGCTGCTTTTCCAACTGATGTAAACAAAGCAGGAGCAAAAATGGATGGTCCCACTTTCAAAGTGCCAAGCACCCAGTGGCTCCCATTGTTGTGGGTAACAGAGAACCATCTGTCCTCAGAAGGACCTCAGGGATTGCACAATAACAGATACTTGGCCACCTTATGTCATGGCCCAAGGAGAAACTGAGCTCCTGGAAAAAAAAGCAAAACAAAACAAACCAACAAAAAAAAATCCAACCAGAAACTGCTGCATTTGTTGCATCCATCTGGGAAAAAAAACTGGCCTGGAGTATAAAAGTGCTTTAAATCAAACAGCACGGTGGCCAGACCCAAACACCTACTCTGAAAAACTTCAGGGTGACAGCTCTGAAACCAGACACCAACATGCATTTGGATGCTTTGCTTCCACTCAAATTGCATCTCTAGGTACTGTACTGCAAACTGATCACCATCTCCACTCCAGGCAGGCTGGCCACAGGCTGAGGCAAAAGCCATGTAGCTGTGGTTAATGATAGGCTGAATTCAAGGTGAAAGAGAGGATAATTTAATGCAAGCTCAGCACTGCATTAATGTGGCTACCTATGTGCCAGTGGTTTGTAAAGACAAGCAGAAGCTCACACCTGCCAGCTCACTATCCAGTATATCTAGCCACAGGGTAATTACCACACACTGTGCGTGGTGCAGGATCAAAGTGACAGACTTGGACTGTGCCAGGCCAAATCTCTTCCCCAGTAGGTTCTCCAGATCTCATCTCCATGTCTTTGATTTAATAACTATATAATAAAAATTCAGTGGGTCAGGTTTCACCTAGATGACTTGGTGGTTGTTGAGGACAAATGACCAGACAAAGCAGGGACCTCTTCTCTCCTGCAAGGTCTCAGGGAGCTGTAAGAAGAAAGGATGTCCACAATTGCATCACCAGACTGCCTTGATGGCAGGGTTTCCAACACGCAGGTGTGGGTGCACCCAGGGAACTTTTTCCAACTGCCCAAAGCACCAGACAAACAGCTCCCCTTGCACACAGCTCAGCCACGCAGTGCTTGGTGCATTCCAAGCCCACACTTTTCATGGCACAGACACTAGGTTGCCACTGGGGGACACTTCCACCAGGACTCACATATGAGATTAATGCTTCGTGGTTGCAACACCTGCATCAGGCCAACCCCAAGCCAGCAAAAGGCCCTGCTTCCCCATTTCACAACCCTGGACTGCTCTAACGCAGCAACCTTAGTGCTTGATGCTCTCTCAGCACTAGAGATGTGTCTGATGTCTAGAGATGGGATTTTTTAGGAGAGAACTGCTGAGAGGGAGCCTGTCACTATAGATGCTAACGTAAACCCTTCTTCATGGACACATCCACCTACAGCGACTCTCAGTGTGCAACCCTACAAGCAGGAGGTACCCCAGCTGGGCTCCCCTCATGCCCACAGCACTGTGGCTCAGTGCTAGGCCAGGCCACTCTTTGGCTGCATTGCCCAAAAAAAAAAAGGTGATGCACAGAGCCCCAGGAGCTGGGATGCCCCGTGCCTCACTCCAACCCACACACCCCGCCTTGCTGGAAGGAAGCCCAGAGCGTTGGTCCCCAGCCTCCTGTGGGGCTGGGAGGCAGCCAATGTGCTCCAGAGGCCAAGCCCTAACAAGGCACCACACACAGACCCTGCCAAGGGGCCAGGCTCTTCTCTGCTAATTGCTGTCTTAGCTTCTGAACCGACACGAGGGAAACAGAAGCAGCCTTATTTCTGGAGGTGAATGCTAAGTGTGCTGCTGCGCGTCCCCATCTGCCGCCGACAGCCACTGCTGACTGTAAGCAATCTTGAGCAAGTTTCTGATTTACTTCTCCTCCTGAACTTCATCCCAAGCAAACTTTACCCTCTGGCAGACTCCAGAAGAGGTACACATACAGAGCACATACACGCACACGTGGGCATGGAGAGATGGGCAGGAGCAGGGAGTGTGTTCACGGGTACTCCCGTCTGCCACACCTGCAAACTGTGTTCCATTTGGGCAAGAGAGCAGAACTTTCACAGTAGAAATTTAAGCTGTTTTCTACAGTGAGATGTCAACATCCCTGCTCTGGAAGGACTGCTGCTGCTACTGCTGCTCTGTGCGAGCACAAGTCAGTGGGATTCTTACCTTCATGGCATACTGCAGGAATATTGCCTAATTTTCTGTCTGATTAAAAAAAAATTCATATATGGCACCAAAGCAGCATTCTGTCCCCATTATGTTAGGTACCACCATGCACACGACTACCAAGGCCTTCACTCTTTGAGGTAAATCACAACCAATCACCCCCTGCTCCTAAAACAGCAAAGCCTTTCCCTTTGCTCAGAGAGCTATTTCAGGTACCAGAGCTTAGAGGAGCTTGAGCTCTTTAAGGGAAACTCCTCCCTTATTCCCATCCACCACCACAGCATCATGTCTTGCTGCAGCTACTGGCATATCCTGTCCAACCCATCCCCCAATATGACTGCATTACAAACAAGGCTAGAAAGACAACAACAAAATTTAAGGACTGCACTGAAGATGCGCAGGGAAAAAAAACACCCATCACCAAACAAACAAAGAAAGGACACACACTTTCAGGTAACACCGATTTCTACTTTGCATTGAAGGTGGCTTCTTTCAACAAAGGAAAAAAAAAGAAGGAAAAAAAGAAAGAAATGGATAGAGAAAAAGGTAAAATAGAGAGGGGGTGAGTGACTAGCAAACTGAGACGGGGCAAATATAACGTAACAGCACTTGGCAGCCTTTCTGAAGACTAGACGTTGAAAGCATTAATGACTTAAATCAGGCATAGATATGATATTTCATAGGTAAACAACCATTCCATGTCAAGCAAGCTTGTCTACAGCATAATAAAAGGAAATTCTAGGAAGCAAAACACAAGTTAAAAGCATAGACAGACATTTTGGTTACAGGTACATTTTACAAAAGAATGGTGTGTGTCTCTCTCTATACAATATATATATATATATTAGCTAGCTCGAGAAATTAGATATATTTGCTTGAACAGTCTCCTTACTCACAGAAGTTACTGTAGCTCCAGCAGTTACCCATTGGTCAAAGAAATAAAATGCACAGATCATCAGTTTATCTATAGCGATACCAGCTAATTCAATTGCTGCTGTTCTAGTCAACTGGAATCAAAATAGTTTCAAATTTCCTGGCAGCTGGTGCCCTGCACTGCACACAGTGATGTAAATGGATGCTTTCTGAGTATTATGAAACTGATGGGGGAACTGCAGTCTCATTCAGTCTATCGCAGGAGCTAAGGAGTCCACCTTGGCAGCTTGCAGGGGGGAAAAAAAACATTTCCTCCAGCAAGGCTGCCTGACGGCATGCCAGGGAGACGTCTGTGCTTAGCTGCTGCCGTTTATTGTAACCGCGTCCGTAAGGGAGGAATCGGGTGGAATGGCGATGCTGAGAGTCATGTGCCGATTTCGGAGCGCAGGATGCTTTATGGCATTTCAGCATCAGTGAGCTGGAAGCACTCACTAAGCAGCCTAGTCATCTTGCATTTTATGTCTCCGCAGCTCCCTGCGCCCAGCACAGGCAGCACACGGGTGAGCGTGCGTGCGGCGCCACGGCAGTCGTGCTTTCTCGGTATTTCTTGCCACTATTCGTGAAGGGCGAATTGGGGCAAGCAAAAAGCAGTGAGTGCGTTAAAGATGAAACGAATCTCCAGGTGACAGAGCTTAATGAATGAGTCGCAGGATTTATGGTATTATATCATTACTGCAGCCCGCCAGAGGGGAGGGTTACACGTATCTCCTTGTCCTGCACTCCCTCAAGTTACAACTTCTTAGGGTCACTAAAACTATTCCAAGTGATAGCCTGCTCGTGCTGAGATGGAGAGGCCGTCCCCCGCGAGAGGGGAGGGATGCTGCACAGCCTCTGGCAGCCTTTCGCAGCAGCCCTTTTTCCACATGATGTCATTCTCTATGCTGTGATAGGTCCTGCCTGGCTGGCGTAGCCAAAGCCAGGAGATTAACATAATGCAAGCACGGTGCTTTTGTAACTGGACTGCAAACGTCCACACCGGACTGGGCGCAGGGTTTTCTGCAGCTTGCAGCCGCTCTAGGTTTTTTGGGCAACTGGCTTGCCCCAAAAAGGGGAAGTGGAGCCAGATCTTCGTCCCTTCTAAAGTTACAGCGGCACTACGTAAAAACAAATTGGTGGAAATGGGGAAGCTGAGTGAGAAAGAGGGAAGCAGGGGGAAGAGGTAGGGGAGAGCTGTCTAGAAATAAGCCCTGGTTCAATGCCTCTGTGCCTTAGCAGACATGCAGGGAAGATAGAGAGGACCAGAGGTATAGCAGAGCCCACACAGGAGTGCCCACATCGGCTGAGATTCTTCACCTCAAAAACAGACAACCAGAGGGAGTCCTTGCTGTGGTTACTGGGAGGTTTGACACAGAGCCCAGTAGCATGCACAGGCAGCGTGCTCCTTGCACTCACCATGCTCGAACAGCCAGGCAGTGGTGTGGCAGCTGGCAGCTCAGAGTTACCCAGAAATTAACTGGTTCAAGGAAGAAAATAATCCCCCTGCAAGCACCCAGGGGCAGTGTGTCGCTCAGGAAATCCCCCACCCACAGCTTGCTACATACTGGAGGGGGTTATCAAAGAAGTACTGCTCATCACTGCTCTTGCCCAGTTCCCTAAATTTGGGGGGGGGGTTGGGCTACCAGAGGCTGTGCGAGGTGTACCTTCAGTCTGCCACAGGACAGTCATGCCCATGCTAGGTAAATTTGTCCCAAATCTCTGCTAGCCCAGTCCCAGAGCTGGAGTCTGGTAGTTATGTGATGGCCAAGTTGTCATGGCTTGAGAAACAGAGTAAGAAAAGCTGCTAGGTCAAGAATGTAGATTCTGCCCATTAAGAAAACACTGACCAAAACAGCATGTAAAATATAGGGGACACAGTGTGTCTGTTTGAGTGTTTGTGTGGGTTTTTTTACAATTGCACAAGTTCTAACCCTGTTCCTCATGGAAAGGCTTATATAAGCAGTGCTGTGACTCGGCTGCATTTTTTTTTTTTTACCCCACAATGGTGGGGTAACTAATTCCCAGTGGTAAGCAGGGTTTGGGACCACTTGCATAACCCCAACTGCACTGAATTAAGAGTCCTCCAAAGAGCCCCATACCTTTTGCCCTGCTGCAGGAAGGATGGCACCTTGCCACAGCAGCTCTCAGGCCTACGGTGAGCTCAAAACAGGACAAAGTCCAAAACTAACATGCAGCACGTGCTGAGAGGATTTAGTGAGAGGGATTATCCACTACAAATTGCTGCATGGGCCACAGATGGTCAGTGAGATAGCTCAGTCCCGAGAGTCATTACCCTGGAAAGCAAAATGGTAGAGTGAAACATCTGTTAGCATGAGCAGGAACAGGAGGGAACACAAAGAGAGTATCTGGGCTCCTTATCCTGATGTAAAAGGGTGTGGATGAGTCTTACAATATTCAATGCACTTTTCTTCTTTAAAGCCCCACACCCTGGAGTAACATGGCTGTGAGAATCTCAAGCTTTGGTTTAAGACTTATTTTTGGAAAAACTCATAAACCCAGAATGTAAAAGACAGATCCAAAAAGAATCTGAAATTTTCTATTTTTCTACTGCTGTGATTTAGAAAGGAAGCAGCTAACAGGTGATTTTCTAAGTGTAGATACACACAGTGACAGCAAGAATTACTTTAAAAGCTCCCTAAGAGCCTTCAGCTGAAGAACAAACTTCTGGAGCAGTGACAACTCACAGCTGCTTTCACACTTGCAGCATCTACAAAGACTTTACAGCCTCTCTAAATCCACTTGTAATTAATGTTATATATTTAAAATATTGTATTTTTAGAGAAACTTCTCAAAACACTCAAAAAATTGCTTTCAGGAAGCAACAATGGCTTTAAAAAATCCCACACTACTACTAGACACAGATCTCAGAAACTGGATTTTTGCAGATCCATCCAGAAACAAGGCACATCTGCAGAAAAAGATGTCCTTTACTGCATTTCAGGGTTTGGGACCAATTAACCAGGCTAAGAGTAAGCTTGCTAAGCAGTCCTCAAAGCACTCCAGGAGCTGGATATCAACTTACGCACCCAACTAAAACAAAAATAGGACACAGAGGGACATGTGTGTCTCCCAGGCTCCAAGTATTTGTTGCTAAAGGACAAGCTATGCAGCTGGACATTGCATAGTAACTTTTCAGCAAGTTCTCACAGGGAATGAGATTCCCTTCCTCAGGAAGCTGGACAGAGCTAAATAAACAACGTGGGGGTCTAGAGCAGAAGGCACTTGTTAGAGCAGTGAACTGTGAACAGGAAAAATACTTGTTGTACACCGTGTTACACTTCTTCAGTGTGGTAACAGGCCAGAACTGCATCTACCCCCGTAATTTTAGTTAAATGCCTTCTCCATGTTCTTATCAAGCCATCTCCAGCAGCAGGTTAACATGCATCATTTCCTTCAGAAAGCTTCAGAAGCGAAGCAGGGCTACAGCACGATGGAGGGTTTGTGTTGGTTTGCTGCCCATCTCACCAGATGATGGGGGTGAAGCTAAGGAGAGGAGAGGAGGCCATGGTGACAAGCAAAAATGCAGCTGTGCCCCACAGTACCTGCCTACAGCCAAGTCAGCTGGCTGAGCCTCCCCTGTTGTGCCCACTGACCTGGATGCATCATTTTCCGTCTGCCCAATGGAAGGGAACGGCCTGACTGCCTCCAGGAAAGTGCTGCTGAGCCCTGCCAGCTTCAGCCGAGTTCAGCCTGTGCCACATGTGCTCAGAGTATCTGATGTGGCCAGACATTGATGGGCTGCCAGCATCACCGGGTCCCCAGATATTTCTGCGCTCACATCATCACGGCTCTCAGCTTCAGTGAACAGGCCACAGACTGGGAGGCAATTACTGGCTTAACTCTGGCATTTCCTAACTTCTGAGTGTTTAATTTTGCACATTTAAAAAAACAATAAACAAACAGCCCATATTTTAATGGTTATTTGTACTAAACCCTTGGCCTTCAAACAACTCTGTTGTTTACCAAGTCGAGGATGTGGTAATCTCCTCCCCACAGCTGAAGGTTATGATAACTTGAACTATCCAGCTTTCAAGTGCAGGTCACAAGACATACAATTTCCTCCTGTGGAGCAAGGGACTTAGCATAATGCCTTGTGCCCCTTTAGTTCTCCTCTCCCTGGGACTGGAAACGCAGACATCCATCACACCACACCTGAGGGCCCCAGAGCATGCCTCAGCTTCTCCCAGCCTCAGGAAGAGGGACTCAGAAGTTCAAAGGGAGACACCAGGACAGCTCCCCGTCACGCAGACGAGATGCAGAGCACAGTGCAACCTGTCCTCCTGCACCAACATTAATTTTTCCATGTGCTCAGATCGATGTGACAGTGCTCTTCTGACAGCACTGTAAGAGCTCACTGCTCTCCAGAAATGACCTGGTTTACTCCAAGTTGGAGTAAAGAGGAATACTCAGCACAGCCAGTGAACACGCTGGTGCCAGAGAGGTAATCACTTCTTACAGTGCACAAACTCATCTGGGAAGTTTTAATACAGTACCTCTGGAGACTTAAATTAAAAAAGTTAACCTTCTTTTTGCATCACTGCCAACCAGCAGTGCCAAACATCAGGGATATCTATGAGAAAACTATTGATTACACACTGAGATTTAAAAAATCCTGAGGGTCTTCAGTGTGTCAGAGAATGTCCCATCTAGTGGGACACTAAAAACAACAACAAAAAAAGGCTGAGAGAGTCAAGTATGTCAGCAGGATGATGAAATTATAATTAAGGGGGAGGGGGCACCACAGGTCCGAGCTTTCTGTATTCCAGCCTTGTGTGTGTTCCTGTTAAATGCTGCAGGAGATCTGATGTACCTGTCCTCCACCGTAATTAGGCAACATGAACGTGAAAATCAGGCAGTCCTCCAACCCTCAAAAAATGCAGTTTTGCACCTTCTCGAGAAAGCAGAGCTGCAGAGGAATATACCAGACCAGGGAGCCCAGACTTTCAGGATTTCCTGGAGATGGAAAGAGCAAGAGATGAAAGCATGACACAGGGTGGTGCCTCAAAATGGAAAGCAATGGGGTTAGAGCACTGGGCAAGACTACAGTCAGCAGTTTGGGCTGTCATGAGAACAATGTAACGTGAGTGCCTGTGGTCTAAGGGCAGTTTTTTAGAGTGAGGATCAGGAAGGTGCCACTACTGTCTAATGCACAGAGGATGCAGCAGAGCTGGACATGCACGCCTTGAAGTGACACAGAGAAAGCAAGCAAGGCAGAAGATGAAGGACAACCTAGTACGTCAGGAGGGCTCATTTTACACAGATACTAGGGTAATTTTCCTAGGGCTGTTTCAGTCAGCATCATAAGACCATGAAAAGGCTTTGCTTGTACAAAAAAGCAGCCATTGTGTTCTTCCTTTGCTCTTGAAACAGGTTATAGAAGTTCTACAGCAAAAGCAATGATTTCCATGACTGGGGTTCAGAAGGGGGTATGCTGCATGGGTCAAAGTATGTGTTTGGTTTTGTTTCATGTGTCAGCTGTGGCATTGTTTGACCCCTTCCATGATTCAGCACACAATGCCAGGAGAAAGTAAGCCTTTTTATTAGAATTGTTCTTCTGGCGTTGTTTGGGGGTTTTTTGTTACTCAGTTTTTGCTGGCTTAAGGTTGCTAAGCAAACAGATGAGCACAAGAACTAGCATGAAACAATCCGTGGCAGCGTGTGTCTGGGACCATCTCTTTTGGCAGAAGCAAGCTGTTAAATGAGCTCAGTTGCCTCATGACACCTCACTGAACACAAAACAGCAAGTGACAGGCTTTCCAAAAAGCTATTTGTTGCACCAGGAATTCAAAACCAAGCTTCTTCCAGCAGCTGTTGGGAAACACCAGATTTGCATAGCAGCACAGGCACTATTTGTACAGGGCTTTTTTGTGAGGGACGAGATTACACCCTCTGTTACACAGGAGGGATGAAAGCTTTCTCCTCCCAGAAGCATCAGAGAAAAGAATGTTTATTAATCTTAAGAAGCTATCTTCTTCCTAACAACAGTCTTGGATTTATTTTCTCATATAACAGGAATTATGGGGTATTTGGCCTTCATGTTTACTTAAGGAATTATTTTGTAGCATCCCCCACTGTTTTCCCCATGAAAGCACTTTTTAGGACTAAGCCATGCTGCCAGGGTTTTTTTTTTTCCTTTTTGGTATTTAAACATATTAACTGCAAAGTCATAAAAATTAGGACTGTAACACGCCTAAGCCTAAAGATAAGTCTGTTCAATAGACATCACTGTTTCTGTGGCATTTCCAGAGCAGAGTATGTTTCCATATACAACAAGCACCCTTTATGTCCACGAGTCTGAGAAGACGTCTTGTCCAACCCAGCCAAATTCAGTTTCTAAAAAACATTTTCTTTAGCTGGAAGGCAGAAGGCTGGGGTTTTGCCAGGGAAGGTGGCCAGGCTGTGCAGGGGCACGTGGCTGCACATGGTGCATCCTGCCTGCTCCCACTGGAAAGCAGCAGCCCCAGGAGAGGGGTCTGCAGGGAGATGTGTGGCCCCGAGCCCTCCCACAATGAGATGAGGGTCCCAGGGCCTTGGACCTCCTCCTGCTCTGAGTAAGGCATTCAGGGCAGGAGGATGGGCAACAAGACAAGAGAGGAGAGGAGCCAGACAGGAGGCATCACACAGTAAAGGCAAGAGCACGAGGGCATCAGCAATCACAAGCATCCCAGACGAAACCAAACTGAGGACAGCAAAGGAAAGAAATTATGAGAAAATTTTTTTATGCAACAGCTTTATTAGCACTTGAATATCATTGATGAAAAACCTCTTCTAGGTTAGATGCTAGAAGGCATCTAACTTTTTATTTTCCCTCCTCTCACCTATGAAAATGACCACAAGCTTCAACCTGGAAGGTAAAAATCAGCACAGGAGCTTACTAACAAAGTATGCCATCTCCCACCCAGGTAGACAGAAGTATTCTTCCTTCTTTGGCTTGTCTGATTCAAGTGTTTTAGTACTCAATTAAAAAATGCATTCCCTCAACAGCATCCAGCAGAGCTTCAGTAATATGGCTGTGGCAGAAAGGGAAAGGATAAACCAGAAGGCAGTAGTAATTAAGTCATTCAGCAGCTTACATGTTATGTTCTGTTTCTGAGGCCAGTCATGGCACAGGTGAACTGCTTTGGGTTACATAAATTGAAGTTCAGTGTTATTGCCCACAGTGACAAGTCGTTCTCTTGATCAAGTTTAAACACCAACACTTCTCCTGGCCCTGGCCCTGTCACTCATTTGCTTAAAATACTTTATACTTTGACCCCTAAAAAGCCTGTCTTCTTTCTTTTAAAGGCAACTTCAGAAAGTAGCAGGTTTGTTTGGATTTTTGGTTGTGTTTTTTCCCTTCCCATCTAACACAGAGAAGAACAGAGAGACTTTCAGGCATAGCTGCTTCCCCCAGAAACATATGTCATGACATATTTGACATATATCAAATCAAAAAACGCCAGCATTTGGTGCACAGAGCCCTGGGTTTGTACTGCAGTGCCCTCAGTTACCCCTTCCTCATTCATCTCTAGCTAGTAAGCAGTTAAAGCCTGCTCACTTGAAGAAAAAAGTGAAAGGGGCACTACCACTCTCATTTATCCACTGTGGTAAAACACCTTGGAGGAGGAGGAGGAGGATGAATCTGCCTGAGACAGCATGAGGCCAGTCTGGGTAGGCACAATGTCACCCAGTTTTCGGGTACAATTGAAAAATGTTATGTGTTAACCACTGTTTAAATATTTGGAAACCCTCCCTTGAAGTCACTCCCATTTTTCATTATAATTGTTAGCTCCTAATGGTAGTTTCTCATTAATAAAGGAACCTGAGAAGGACCAGAAACATCTATTTATCTGGCTTACTCTTTGCCACCCTTTATTTTAGGGCTCAGTACTCAGCCCGGAATACCCATCACATGTGATAATTGTTTTGGCTGGTAATAACCCCAGATTCACGTGGACTTATTAGACACAGCATACTTTATTTAATACTGATTCAATGCCTGCTGACAGTGCTCTCACACTGCGTCTCTCCAAGCGAGAAATGAGGTCATCCTGATTCGTGAAATGATCTGATACACATTTTGTGGCAATTTGGAAAAGCTTTTAAAATTTAAAATTTTGGTGGTCTGGGGTTTGTTGGCTTTTTTTCCCCTTTACAGTTTTGTTTTTTTTCACTTTGTGATTAGGATTTCCCAAGTGGGAGACCAAACTTTATATAAAATCCCGGAAAAAACTGTTTACTCACTTTCTAGACTTCAGTTCTGCCTTTTTTTTTTTTTAACCTTTTTTTTTTTGCCTTTTTTTCTTCCCTTTTCCCTTTCTTACTGAAGTGGAGGAGCCTACACAGTTTGTTTCTGAACAAAGTGCTGCCCTTTTCTGGCAAGAAGGGAGTCTTCTTTAATTAAAAGTGACATTCCAGAAAGTTTGCAATTAGAAAGGATCAAGGTACAAAGAGAACAGCCTGAGGAAATGCTTTTGCAAAGAGGGCAGGGATTGTTGATAATTATGATGAGGCAAGAGAAATAGTTACAATAACTACATTTACTTTCTTCTAAGCTTGGGCTCTGAAAAGGTAGAAAATGCCCTGCACTTACATGAAAAGGACAGGACCAAGACCAATCCTTAGGCATATTAGATATTGCACCTGGATTTCTTGAATTACTGACTACAGAGGACAGAGCAGTTCAGGTACCACCTCAAGTATCTAAATTAAAATCTTACCTACCTCTAGCTGTAGGAAGAGCAGCGTGCAGACCACGAAGGGCATTCCTGGAAGGACCTCCAGGCAGAGATGGCCGTGTTTCAGCACATGCAATTGCAGAACTCATGGCTGAAACGACTCCGCCGCACAGAAGTGAAGGGATTCCCTCCACCAGTGTGTCTCCAGCACATGAGTCCCTGCTGTCACATCAAGGTGGCCCAGGTGAGCCAAACAGAAAGGTGGGTGTATAACACAGGGAACCACTGTCATTTTCTGAGGCCAAACCAGCAGGGTCCTTTGGTCTGGTACTTGCATTGTGGTCTAGCAAAGAGCAGCGTTAGCATAGTGAGCAAGCCCTTGTGGGCTCACTAAGAGAGAAGCTTCTGCAAAACTTTCCTGAATAGATTAAGAGTTTTGGGGGGGTTTTTTGCATACAATAGTTATAAATAGCACTTACCCATTTCTGAAGGCTTCTCTTCTTCCAAGCCAAATAAAAATTCATATTTGGCCTTGGCAACATTCTGGGCGTGAGCCGATACATCATTATCCCACACAAGTGCTTCTGCCTGTAGAGTCAAAATAAATAAAGCTTATCTACCTTTTGGTGAAAAAACAGCAGCAGGAACGTGAAATCCTTCCAGGTGCGCTGTCAGGAAGGATTTTCAAAGTATTCATTTAACTCTGTCACCACCAAGATCATCCAGAGCAGACATGCACCAACTCAGAATGCTTTTGAAGAGCTTGCCTGTCTTTGAACCCAAGCATTTCAGCATTAAGCAGTGATGTCAGAGCACCCAACCACTTATATCTTTAGCAGGCTTACCCACTGCAAGGGCAGCAGCACTGGCCAACTGTGTCAGTAACACCAGTTAGGGTTAAAAATGTCAAGGGAGTAGTATCAGAAATAGCAAATTTGAATCTGTACGTCACAAAACTGGGACCCATGAGAAAACCATAAATGGGGCAGGCTGTTTCTTTGAAGAGAGGCTGGGGCAGAGAAAGGGAGGAAGGAAAAAGGGCTACAGCAAGGATGATCAAAAATGGGAAAAAGGGATAAGGTATGCAAACATGTGGCAAGTACCGTCTAAGGGTCCCTGTTGGACAGCCCACGCCTGACTGCCGCTGTCTAGCTCAGGACAATAGCCCAGCCTGGTTTTATAACAATACCACACAAGTCAAACCTGCTTATCTGGCCAGGAGGCAGGGAGGAGGCACAGAGTGGTGAAGCCAGCTAGTCCTGGGCGGGGATGGACGGACAGATGAATTAAGCAACCCCTGCCCACCCAGGTCTGGTGCCACCAGCACCTTCACCCTGCTCCCTCCTTGTTAAGAAGCAGTTTGAGAGAGTAAAGGTCCAGTTTCTCAGAGGAGATAAAGGCTGCAGGACTAAGATCAAAATACCTTTCTGAACAGGTGGGGACAAATCAAATCCCCAAGGTAAAGCACACACCAGCAATAAGCTGTAGTGCAAAAACTATCTGCAGTCGGCATTAAGTGTCTCCCCAGCTGGGCAAGACGGAGCCCGTAATTCTTCCGTTTGAATTGACAGATGAAATAAATCATTAACTCCACAAATTCTTCAGTAAACTTTATATTCACACTCTATGTTCGAGGCACTCAACTGTTGCAGCATAGCAAGTCGTTGCATCGTTCATATTGAAGACCTGAGCTTACAAAAATATTCTTAAAAAAAGAAGTCAGATGGAACATTCTGCCCCCCAGGACAACAATAACTTTTATGCATTTCTATCAAATACCTTAGGAGAAGCGTCATCTACAAACATAAATTCAAAGTACAGGGGACACGTAATTCACAGGTCAAGGCTCTTTAATCAGCAATGGATGAAATCCATACATTCCTCCACCTCCCCAACAATTACATTTTCTTCCACGAGCATATTGGCAAATAGCTATCTTGCCCCATGCCCTCGAACGGTTTTGCTCCAGGTTTTCCTGGCCTTTTACTCCATTTCTACTCCTGCCTTTCTGCACTGCACTAGTTCTGCAGGATTTAGTCCGACACCACTCTGTCCGAAACAGGCAGCAGATCTTACACAGGGGTCTTGGACAGATTTATTTGGACCGTTCACTGGTCCAACTACTCATCACTAGAGCTCTGAGTACTTTGATGGACGTGCTAACACTAGGGTACCAAATCCTTTGGAAAAAATGTGGTGAAACAGGTGAAGGGTTTTCTAGCACAAAGATGACTTCCATGAGCAAGACAAAATGAGCTTGGAAAAAGCCTCCATGTCTCTCCTGCTTTTACAGGGCTGCATTTGTTCACAGGAAGGGAGGCATGAAGGGCTAGAAGAGGAATAGCTGGACCCAGAGCTCACACAGGAGAAGGCTCTTGTCTGCAACAGCTTGGACAGGAGTAGCTTACAGAGCCAGACAAAAATTCAACCTACCCAGATATGGATGTGAAAGGATGGGATGGCTAGAAACTAGCTGGTGCCAAATCCCAGTCACGGATGAATGAAATGGAAAATAAAACGAACAGAAGAGTCCAGTTCCTGAGCAGTCAGGAATTTCTGATCTATGCACCTCTGGGACACAGTATTTCCATACCTCAGCCTTGCTTTTTGAGACTTCACAGACATCTGCTGCAGTGAACATCCCTGCCAGCAAACACATGTTCCAAGGGTCTGTATTTGCCTGCACCTCATCGTAAAGCAATGGAGAAGAGTCTTGTTCACAGCACCCTCTGCATTGCCCAATAACAGGCAGACATAAGTTGTTAGATTAATGGGGTTTCCATGTACTGGGCAGCATTTATCAGAACTAGGTGCATAAAGAGAGGCTGCAAGACCTTTGTCTTGGCATCTGAAAGGGATAACTTGATTTTCAGAAGTGCTCAGCACCACTGATGAGAATTACAGATACTGGCTTGTGTATGGGAACAGCTGAACTTAACATCTATTTAGGCTGTCAGAGCACTAAAAGGAACTGTGTAAAGAAACTCCAGATCCAGGCTTAAGGAAAAAGTTTATCATATTTCATCCAAAAAAGAAATATTAAGAAAAGAACACAAGAGAGGGAGAGAACAAAGACACTGAGTTCAGAGCTCGATTTTAAGACCGCTGATTTACCAGTGTTCAAATCAAGAGTGTGCTCTCCTTTTCTTCTTTCAATTCACCCAAGCCTTGCAGAGGTCAGCATGCCCTAAAACCAGGATCCCAGAAAAGGCCTGGACAAACATTCATGGTGCTTTCCAAACTGCATTAGCAAAGATTAAATACAAGCAAGATTGAAAGGGATATAAAACTCCTGCTTAAGCCTTCTCTCTCAGCTCAAGGGCAAAGAAATCTGCATCCAGGTCATCTCATTTCATAATTGCTTCCCTCAGAGGGCTTTAACCACCACCTTTGATGCATCTGGTCTTTGTCACTCCTGGAGAGGGTGACACTCAGAGCATCAATCCCCTTAAATCAGCCCAGTTGTACATACAACATTTCTCATGAGCCACATACCCACTATTTTTCAGTCTGATTACGGTCTGGGCAGAGAGGCATCAAGCTCCTGCCCATTTATGCATCACCCTTGCAGTGCTTTCTGCCTGTTTGAACATGTTTCATCAAGCCTACTTCTCTCCGTCACAGTTCCTGGTCGGGAGTTGGGGCAGCTGCATTTGCCTCTCAGTGAATTTTAGATAACATTTATGAGGCTGCATTAGTTTGGCCTTGGCAGCCCTCACCCCTCAGACCTCCTGCCAACACACCAGACCAGTTTCTGCTGACCCTGCAGAAGGCACTGGCATGGTCATTACAGGTGTCCCACCTTGCTGGCTTTCTGTTCCTTGCTGAGGGAGCAGAGATTGTTCAGGATATGGCACTCATGGTGGTTTCAGGCTAGTACAAGAAGTGAAGTTGCTGAATCCATGTCCAGCAGGAGCTGCCAAGGACAGATATGTCAGCCCAGCTGCCTCTGCTCTGCTGTCTGGAGGTGTGAACTGGGGCTGCGGGGCAACATCTGCAAGGAGAAACTGTTCCCACAGTTCACCCCTGAAAGGTGCCTTTAGGCAGGCCCCCGACAAGAGCTGCTGACTCTCTTGAAGCACAGTTTCTCTCTCATTTCAGCTTCAGTCATGAGCTCCCCTCAAAATGCCCTCCCAAAAATCCCAGTGGTTTTTAGATAAGCACAGTGAGTCATAAAAGCCCGAAGAAAATGCTTCTCCTTTCTCCATGGAAGAGAAGCACTGAAGCATCCTCTTTTGAATTTCACTGAGGTTCTGGTTGGGGCCTTTTTTGGGACAAACTGTTTTCTTCTTGGAGCCTTTTTTTTTTTTTTCCATACCTACATGTCAGAGAGCATTAAATGAAGAGTATCAAAGTCTTGTTCTCTCACCACCATTTGCAGCTGAGCTTGACAGGAGAGCTAGGCTCCATCTCAGTGGAAGGGGATGACATTGTCCATGGCTGCTGTGACAAGGAACAGGTCAGTCTGAGCACAAGGAGCCAGTTTGAACCCATGCCTCCTGAAGTATTCACACTTAAGGTCATATGTTTTCTTCAAAAAAGTCTAATAAGGAGGAGTTTTTCAAAGGAGCAGATAATTAAATTGCAAATGTCAGTTTGGAGTTTCTCAGACTCCCTCAGAGGACAGATGCTGTCAAAATAGACTGAATTCTTGCAGGCGACCCATGCTTGAGGAACAGCAGAATGGGATGGGTGCTCAAGCACGAGTCTTCAGGGAGCAAGAGCTAGCCAATATTCTGGACAGCAGGAGTGCACTCATGCTAAAGGAAAACATCAGTAGGAAGTGGCCTAACAACCTTTCACAGAGGGCTTTTAGCTGGGACAGAGAAGTCAAAGCGTCCTCAGGGAGACCCCTACAAGCTTGCTTAATAAAACCCAGCCACCCTGTCCCCAGAAAGAAACATTACTGGAATTCTTCTAGGCTTATTGGAAAATGTGGAGGGACTGGCCAGTTAGGGTGTGGGTCTCCACAGCTAAGCCATACCATGAAGAAGCCTCGGGGGAGCCCCAGTTTTACACATTTTGCATGTGCACAGCTGCTTTTTCCAGAGCTGAGTGCTTTCCCCCTTGGCCACACCACTGCTGGATGTCAGCTCCCTGCCAGCAGGCAACAGCCCCTGCACTGGCAGCACAGTGCTTCCTGGAGGTTTCATTGAGGCTAGCGGGGAGATGCTGCAGTGGCTGCAACAGAGCTGTTGGCACTACTCAAGGAAGCAGAAAAAAAGCCTTGCAGGATGCCTGAAAAGCACAGTCTACTACAGAGAACTTCACAGTCGCACCCGCAGCATTTCTAATCCCAGGCTGTGCTTGCTCCATTCTCATTGCTTCATCAGCATCTCTGGTGACAAAAAAACCAAGTGCCTCTCAGCAGCCTGTCATATACCTCAGTACAGTGAGTTTATGCTCTCCAGAGGAGTGTAAACTTGTACCTTCATCTTGTCTTTTGCACCCCAAAGTCTCCCCAGAGATTACAGAAATACAGTAACTGGTAGTGGAGCTAGCTTCAAAAAAAAAAAAAAAAACCCAAAAAACAATCACAAAAAAATCCCCAGAAAAACAAAAAAAATCCCCCCAAAAATTAACAAAAACCCCCCCCAAAAATGCAAAAGAAAAATCGCAATAACGACCAAAAAAATGATAAAAAAAGACCCCGAAAAAACCCCTAAAAATCCCCCAAATCTCAAAAAAAAAAACT